CTTGTGTTTGTCACTCTCTCAGCGTCCCTGTGTATGTGTGTCTCGGTACCTTATATTCACGTCTTGACCCTAGAGCTTCTCATGCTCTCTCCAACATCCAAGGATATATTAAATAAGACCACCCATACCTCTTTGTCCAATCCGACAGAAGGTAGTTTGCTTGTGTACTTTTATGATCAAAAGAAATAAAATACTACACTTGTGGTCTTGCATTCTTGGGTCATGTGATTCTCCTTGAGACACAAAACACGTCCTCTCCATGCTTGTAATTGTTTTACCTTGTTCTTGAACTGCTAAACACAACAAGAACATTGGTTACGTTCTTTCCTTGTTCAGATACAAGATAAATGTCCCCTTGAGCCTTGAGGTCTTAACCGACCAGGTGCTTCTTCCATCGCCCTCATGTTACTGCTCTCTAAACCGCGCTTCTCAACCAAATTAGGGTTACATGCATCCATGCATGCATCCTCAGTTACGAGTTGGGCTTTAATTCTTATTCTATTACATTATTCAAAGATGTTTTGAAATAGAAGATATATGGCTATATATAAATTTTTTTTTTGGTAAAATATATTGCTATATACTTTTGTTTAATATTACCGATTCCATTCATGACCATTTGACCAAGAGGCTATCACTTTGTATTGGTTCATATATCTCTTTTTGTATTAGTCCGTAACGTTGACTTAAGAGCAGAAAACAAAACATTGAGTTTCTTTACAAGATTGTGAAGGTTGTATATATATACATCATGTTGGATTCAATGTTCGAAACGTAATAAAATTTTGGAGCAAAACAAAAAGCTAAGGCTTTCTATACTAACTATTGTGTTTCCATATATATTTTTGGTTATAATGGTATTGCTTAAACAGTTCACGTAGCTAAAGAGAAGATTTCGATATTTGACAAAAAAAAAAAATTGACAAAAAAAGAGAGAAGATTTCGATATCGAATTTGAATAACTATATAATAATGTATGTTCATTTGTATTTTGACTCATATATCAAATGTTCGTGGCAGGAAGAAATAGAATACGAATGTGGTGATATATATAAGCAACCTGCATTTCAACATTCATCCATGAAGAAGGATCATCAAATTCAGGTTTGGGATTTTTTTTTTTCTTCTTACGCGCGGGATTAAATCAATCAATAAAAATAATTGTGTTTCTATATATTTACATGAACAATTAATGTTTACATGAACATAACAAATTGAAATATTTCATACTATCAAAGATTATGAAATATTTCTTAGGTGCTTGTTTTGTTAGTAGTCTTTATTTTCGGTGACTTGATTGATCTTTTTTGTTTTCAGTAAATTTGGATTAATTCTTTTCAAGATTCATCAATTTTTCTATTCAATTAGGTGTACTTTATTACCTATGGGATACATAAAAGGAAATTTAGCGAGCCTCTCAAAGTCTTCGCATCCGAACTCATCGTGATACATGGAAGGTTCATCTCGATCCTCAAAAGAAGTTTGATCGAGACCACATGCTCTGTCTGGTTGCTAAGGGAGTCATATGTTTCACATCCAACTGGGTACCGTAATGTGTTTAAGCTTTCAATTAGTAGGGTTGATATAGCTACGATGAACCAATCTAACCCTGCCAAAACCAAAATGTATGTGCCTTTTGTCGAATATTCAAATTGTAATGTGATTGAAAATCGAATTTAAACCGAAGCAAAAACCAACGAAATTGAACCGGAATCGACCCAAATTGCAAAACAACAATCGGCGTGGATGGTGTGATAAAATTGAGAGTGGCGCGCTTTTGCCTAGATTTGGGGAACACTAAATTTCAAGATCCGATCTCCCTCCAGCGGAAAATGGAAGACGACGGTGGAGAGAGATCTACCTTTCGTCGCCGGCCTCATCGAGATTAGAGCCAAAGAGGTACGTCGCGGCTTTCCCCTTCCTACGATCTGCTTCGTGTTCTCTTATGGTCTCCAATTTCGCAATGGCGATTTCTGGGATCGATGTTCAAATTGTCACAAGGTTGTTGCTCGCATAGTATCTTCGTGGTGACGTTTGATTTCGATTTTGCAATTCTCTGGTCAGGTTGGAATGGCTGCCTTTGACCTAAGGTCCGCTTCGCTGCATCTATCTCAGTATATAGAGACAAGCAGCTCCTACCAAAACACGAAGACGCTCCTGCGTTTCTACGATCCTTCTGTCTGTGATAATTGTTCCTCCCAACACGAAGATCCTGCAGATGGCATGGTTGATAGATACCACCGTTAGGAAGGTTGAATCTTCTGCAATGGAGAAATGTTTCTGTTCAAATTCGGAACTGAAATGTTAGCTTTGTCAGAATCAATCAAACTGTTGCTATATATCTTCTCTTCTTGCAGGTTGTGCTTGCTCGTCGCTCTGTTGATGACACCAAGGTCTCTTGTAGTACAAACATGGCTTAATCTAAGGGATTTTGATCCTTGTACTCATGTATTTCTAAGTTAGGATCGCGTTGTTGGTTGTATGTTTCAGGGTGCGATGCTCATTCAAAACTTGGCTGCAAAAGAACCTGTGGCGCTTGGTTTACGCACTTACTATAAGCAGCATTATCTCTCATTGGCTGCAGCTGCAGCTACAATCAAATGGTGTCTACATCCTCAACTTTACTTTTGCTTCAGTACATTATCAGTTTGTTGTTTTTGAAATACTGAGTTTTGGTTGTGTCATGAGCGGGATAGAGGCGGAAAAGGGTGTGGTAGTCACGAACCACTCACTGACTGTATGTGTTTGGTTATGCACTGTTCTTAAATACCTGGTTGTAATCATGTGTGAATGCTTTAATTCCACAATATGTTTCTTCTTTGGGTTCAACCTTCTCTTTACTGCTTAAGGGTGCTGATAGCCATTTTCCTTGATTGTGTTACCTATGTTTAGGTAACTTCTAATGGATCGTTTCATCACACGAATGTCGATGCAACTAGGTACGATTACCATGATACTATATCATGTTCTTAGTCTATTTAAATGTAGAGAATTTTAGCATCAAAACTATAACTCCTTTTATTTCATTGTTTGTTTGGTTTAATGGTAGTGTTNANAATCTGGAAATCATTGATCCATTCCNTAATGCTCTTTTGGGCACTAGCAACAAAAAGAGGAGTTTGTTCCAGATGTTCAAGACAACAAAAACCGTCGGCGGGTATCTAGAATTTGCTTCTTCTTTCTTCTTCCTTAGGACTGAGATTACTAACAGAGACCTCTCTGTCTGTTGTGAAAAATATTGTATATGAGTTTGGCAAATCAACATTCTAGTTGTGATCTTCATAGTATGTTCCTCATACATTATGCGTTGGTCAGAACTAGGCTTTTTCGTGCCAATTTGTTGCAGCCTCTGAAAGATATTGAAACTATTAACACTCGCCTGGACTGCCTGTTTAGTATAGTTATGCTTTGGGTATCATATTCTCCAAGAAACTTTAATACGCATAACATTCACTTTCTGTTATGTGTTCAACATGTTGATTTACAGAGCTTAGTCGTGAAACTACCAGAAATTTTCCATTGCATGATGATTTATTAATCGTAAAACAAATTTCCTTTTCTTGTAACTGCAGGATGAGTTGATGAGCTATGAACAACTGTTCTTTGGCCTGACACAGGTTTTACGTAAATTTCCAAAAGAGACAGGTAAGTAACTGAGAAAAAAAATGGGAAAATCATGAAATTTTCTCTTTGCATCCAAAAATGTCAGCTTGGTTCTTCTTTTAATCAGATCATCTCAAAAGATTATACACAACTTTTCAGATAGAGTTCTTTGTCATTTCTGCTTCAAGCCAAAGAAAGTCACAGATGCGGTCCACCAAGGTTTTGACAATACCAGAAGGAGATTTCAAGCATTATCTTACTTTAGACTGCATTGGATGCTTTGCCCCTGCTTGCTAAGGTGTTTTATTTCTCATTTTGTTATCAGATTTTTTTGCTTGATTTGGTATCTATGTCGGTGATCTCTGTCCCGTGCCAATTACGCCCTGTCCCACGTAAACATGCAGGTTCTAAAGGACGCAAAGTGTTTTCTCCTGGCCAATGTTTACAAGTCCGTGTGTGAAAATGAATGTTACATAATACTTCTATCAGAAAAAAAGTAAATCTTAACTATGATCTAATTTTCCATTTCCTCCGTTTAAGGCTTCTTAAAGTTAGAGTTTTCAAATAACTTGACTCTTTATCCTCTTATCCTATCAGAGTCGGGGAAGCTATTGATGATGATGTTCTCCATGCACGGGTTCCTTTTGTTGCCCTCACACAGCAGTGTTTTGCTTTAAAAGCTGGAATTGATGGATTTTTGGATATTGCAAGGAGAACCTTGTGTAATACTAGTGAAAGTGAACCAAGAATGTGCTTCATTTTGTATTATTACTGTCTTTCTCTTTTACAAATCTGTTCCACTAATCCAAAATCTTGCAATACATAATCTGGCCAGTAGGTATCGTGAGGAATTCAACTTGCCAAATCTAAAACTCCCTTTCAACAACCAGCAGGGCTTCTTTTTCAGAATTCCGCAGAAGGACGTTCAGGGAAAACTTCCAAGCAAGTTCACTCAGGTCATAGACGCATTTCGCTTGGAAACTTGATATTCTATCTATATGGTTTTACTGACTTTATTTTACCTGTTCCTGGAATGTAATCAAGGTTGTAAAACGTGGGAAAAACATACATTGTTCGAGTCTGGAGCTAGCTTCTGTAAGTTGAATAGTCATTCCACTAATTTCGGTGCCTCGTTTCCTTGTCTGATTCTCTTGGTATTTAATGATTTCAGTGTTAGCAGTTCAGGAAATGATATAGTTCAGGCTCACGTTACAGCTATCGTTACAAAGTTTAATGTTTGCTGCAAATGATTTTAAATGAACAATACTCTCCTCCCAAGTTTTTAATACAGTGAAGACTTGAAACACCATGGATCTGTCCGATATGAGAAGAATGAACCCTCATATCTAGCTCAAGTAGCAGTGCTCATGATTTACGAACCTAGATGCAATGTCTCATCAATATCGACCATACATTGATCTATATGTGCAGTTGAATGTCAGGAACAAGTCTGCCGCTGGAGAGTGTTACGTTCGAACAGAAACATGCCTGGAAGGTTGATATTTGCACATTGCTCTCAACTATAAATAGTAACACGTTTTGTTATAGAAATTTATAGTCCTATCAGGCTTGGTTCCTTATGCCTGCTACTTGAAATGTTTTCCATTTTGTATGCAGCACTAATGGATGCCATAAGGGAAGACGTATCTGCCCTCACACTCCTAGCAGAAGTATTATGTCTTCTAGATATGATTGTTAATTCTTTTGCCCATACAATATCCACAAAGCCAGTGGATCGATACTCTAGACCTGAACTAACAGGTAGCTAGCTGATTCTCCAACTATTATTCCTCAATCACCTACCCATATTTCTTTGCTTTAAAGAAATTCTTGACTTGTATAACTTAAGCATCTAATAATAAATAGGAAATAGACTGCGGAATATCTTTTATACACTACACCTTAAGTGAAATGACTGATCAACTTTTTATGTGGAATTTACTTGTCTATATATACCTTTTGGCAGATAGTGCCCCACTGGCAATTAACCCTGGAAGGCATCCCATCCCAGAAAGCATACACAGCGACTTTGTTGTAAGTTGTTCGTGCTATCTCTCATGGTAATATCATTCCATATTTAATTCTGAGAGCTCATCTTGGTGGCAAAGCTTAATGGAAAATATCCGATATTCTTTATGTCTCTAACATCAGCATCCAAAAAAATCTAATGAAATTACGCATACTTATGTGTTCTGCTACAGTCTTTTCACCAACTTTCTTGCACAGTTTGTTTTCCTTTTGCGACCTGTGGACTCTTGTTTAACACACAAATTTTTTGTTTTGTTTTGCAGCATAATAGTATCTTCATGTCAGAGGCAACCAACATGTTGGTAGTTATGGGTCCAAACATGTAAGGGAGCCTTACTCCCTCGATTTCTGATCGATTGTCCAGCATATCCTCATTGACTCATGTTTGTGTCTGCATTACTTCTCTCAAGGAGCGGAAAGAGCACATATCTCCAACAGGTGTGCCTGGTAGTCATTCTTGCTCAGATTGGCTGCTATGTCCCAGCTCGCTTTGCAACCGTAAGGGTGGTTATTCACCCTTGAGTCAAATTCAAGCACGGTAATCCTTTAAACTCCTGCTCAGACATTCTCCCAAGTCTGATTGGTGATCATTATCCCATGTAATATATCAAAACTGGTGAGATTTCTCATTTCTCATTTCTCATTCCTCTCTTTTGAATGTTACAGTTTCTGACAGAGATGAGAGAGACCGCTTTCATAATGCATAATGTCTTCAACAGGTAGGCTTTGTAAAAGCATTGATACAAGCGAACCTTCCCCTTATTTTCATATCTTTCTTTACCTCTCAAAATGTAGGAGTTTGATAGTCATGGATGAACTCGGGAGGGCAATGATACGGTTGATCTGAGGCCGCCTATTCTATTCCAATACAAGAGGAAGGGTAAAAGCAATCAACAGTCAAAAGAGGATTAACAGCAGTGAAGAAAAGAGACATCTAGAAGAGGACACGTCATGAGGCAAGGGTTTTACACCGTTAAGGGTTTAGTATAAAGATAAGGAGAAGGACAATTTGTCAGCTCATGCAACGAGTAGCATCAAATTGTAGAGAGAGAGGAGAGAAGGGCTCCTAAACCTCCCTTGG